CACCTGGTGCTGCCCTCTTCAGCTCTGGGCTCAGGTGACATGGGCACCTCTAGCAACAGGAGCCGGAATGTGTGAGGTTGCACACTGATCTTGTAACTGAGAAAATATTATGCCAGTATATTTTTGTAGTATATATTTTGTGGTATAAAAGTTATTTTATATATATTTGCAGTATATATTTTGTAGTATAAAAGTTATTCTTAATGCTTTGGACATATATTTTTCAACAAGGCTGTAGTACATCATGGTTTTAAACAAACAAGCATTGTACACTCATGAGTAGAATTCTCATTGTTTGACTCGTTATAGAGAAATATTTCTAGTTAGAGTGAGATATCTAGATATATCTCTAGTTTTAGGGAATTAAAGGCAAATCTATCAAGTTATAGTGAGATATAGGCCAATTAGCTGAATTACTACATGGCTGATTCCCTCATATCTAAAATCAGGCTGATCTCTGTAACACATACACTTCTTATGGGAAATCAAATGGATTATATGAACTTACTTCCCACCCTAGGCCACTGGAAGAGCAAAGTTGAATATCTGCAGGTTTCCCTGAGGTGCCATCAGCATCTGGGCCTTTCTTGCCTCCTCTGCTAATGTTGCCAACCTCCCTGTATTAGGTTAGCTATGGTGCTAATGCAGCTGGTCTGCTTCTCTCCTCAGTCCCAACCATGCCTTCCCCAGACTGAGGAATGACTTCGTCCTGCTTTCTCTCCATCACTTGCAGGACAATTCCAGGTGATGGGACCAAGATTACCAGTCATTGCCATGGTAGGGAAAGAGGCTGTGTTCTCCTGCCACCTCAGGCCAGCCATGGATGCGCAGCACATGGAGGTGACATGGTACAAAAATCATCAGTCAGGCATGGTGCACGACTATAGGAATGGCCAGGACCGTGTGGGACAGCAGCGGCTAGAGTACCACGGGAGGACCCAGTTTCTGAAGGGGAACATCAGCCAAGGGCAGGTGGCCCTGAGGCTCCAGCCCATCCGGACTTCAGATGGAGGGGACTATAGATGTTCATTTGCAAGCTCCACAGGGAATGGTGAAGCACTGTTCAAGCTGTTAGTCACAGGTGAGCCCTGGCATGAATACTCTGAGACATAGTGTGTTGTAGTTTTTTCCTAACAGCACTCTGTGGTGTGCATGGCCAGAGGTGGCTGAGTCCACACAAACAGGGAGCTGGAATCCAGAATGCCAGAGCTGAGCCTCACCTGGGCGGCCCACTCTGGCTGCACCATGTTTCAGTAGAAATCCACTCTCCTCCCTTTTCTTTCTCTATGTGACTGCTGAAGGGAAGGTGTGAGCAGGGAGCAATGTGTCCTAACTCTGAAATGTCCTAGAGACATTTCTTGGTCTGAAGATGTCTTTTCCAAAACCCAGAAGCAACTTGATGTGCAGGAGGGTTCTGAGCAGCCCACCAGTAAGCCTGACTGTCTGACCTCATTCCAATGTACACAGATGTGCACTGAGCAGTTGGACATGGTATTGTGCACTCTTCTTAAACACCTTTGTCTGTTCAGGTCACAGCATGCGTTTGTGCCTTGCATCCCTCTTCTGCAGAGATGTGGCTCCCACTGCTGTCCTGATGGTGTAAAAGAGTGAGGAAGGTTTCTTTCCCTAGACACTGGACTTGCTAGATCCCAGATGCTTCTTCTATGGCACAGAGGACTTCTACCAGCAAACAGAGAAAAAAAATCCCCATAACTGTCCCACTTTGTCCCCAGAATTCTTGCAAGTCTTGGTTACACACTGGTATAGAAAAATTTCTTCCTCACTACCACATAAAAAGAAATTAGTTTAGAGAGAGTATTTTCTTACTCCAACTTTAACAAGCAGGAGAGTTCAGACTCCTACAGGTCATCCAATATAACCCAAGGCCATTGGCCCAGAGAGCAAAGCCATTGACCTCCTAACACAACAGTCTGTCTCTCTCTCTCTCTCTCTCTCTCTCTCTCTCTCTCTCTCTCTCTCCCTCCCTCTCTCATTCCCAGCCTCAGGCCTGGCTCCTCGTATGCATGTTGAACCTGGTCCCAGTGGGAGCATTAAGCTGACCTGCACGTCCCCAGGGTGGTACCCGGAGCCAGAGGTGCAGTGGAGTGGCCCTGGAGGACTCCATCTGGAATCTGCCTCAGAGACCAGGACTACGGCAGGAGATGGCCTATTCCATATGGAGTCCTCTCTCTCAGTAGAGGAAAGTTCCAGAGAACATGTGTCTTGTTCCATCAGGAACCCTGTCCTCAATGAGGAAAAGGAAGCCCATGTGTCCATGGCAGGTCAGTTTCCCCCAAGGTGCCCATCCAGAGGTTCCAGTGCTGATCAGAAAGCTGTGAGGAGCAGAGACCCCTGACACAGACTGCAATGAGTGTCCAGTGGGTGCCTTTGTTACTCCTGAGTAGGGACCTCCTCAGATATACCCACTTCCCCTGTGCACTCCTGCTGAGATCAACAAAATCATTATTTAACAGGGTAGAAATGGATATGCCAAAGCCTTCAAGGGTAACAGGGCTGAGAGGGGTCTGTCAATATCTCTGTAGCCTTTCCTAATCCTCCTGCCCAGGTTTACTCATAAAAAACAATTGGACTTTTTCCTCCACCTGTCAAATTGACCTAAATGCTGACCAGAACCACCTTTGTGACCTTGACACATGCTGAGCATTATGCTCAGATTCCAACTACTAAAAATGGATAATTGTGTGTCCTCATATAGTTGTAATGTAAACTAATAATTCATCTTGCAGGTAGAGAGGATCAAACACCCAGGTCTACCCTTCCATGTGAAGAACAGTCTGGCTCCAGCACTGCCCTGCACCTGCCCTCTCCCTTTCCCAGTCAGGGAGCAGAGTGCAGCCTGTGTTTCAGGATGCCCTCAGGGCCTTCTGTCGCATATGCAGATCTCCATGTGATCCCAGCTTTTCCACATCTTTTCTTCCATTTCCTCCCACTTCCTGATATCTCACATCAGCCCCTGGACATACCCACCCTCTAGTGCTCATGGGCACTGGAGGCCACTTTTCTTCTATTTCTCATCAAGTGAACTTTCCAGATGGTCCTTCAGGACCTAACCCAAGAGCCACCTTTTCCAGGAAACCCCCCAACCCCATGTGCACCTTGTGTCCCTCTGAGTCCTCAGCTTGTCTTTAGACTCACATCCACGTGATGAGGAGGACACCTGGAGGAATGGACCCATGATTAAGGCAGTTAGGGCCTCAGAGGTGGGGGAGGGCAGGTGATGGAGAAACTCTATTACATCTGCAGCCTGTTCCTTATTATAAGAACACTTATAAGATCACTGCATGTTACCCACCTCATGTAGGCTTTGGTGAAATCTGGAGCTACTTACACAGTGTCTGCTGCGTTACTTTTCTCTCTTCAGCCTCTCTTTCCACACAGCTGCCTGGTTTGACAGGGCATCTTGGGGCCTGCCCAGGCTGGGAGGAGGCAGGAAGCAGAGGTCCTTAGGAGTGCTGGGAGGGCTGGTGAGGCTTGGGGTTTCTGCTGCCTGGTGAAGCCTCCCTGAGGGAACAGGAAGGACTCGTCCCCATCAGCCAGACCACTGCAGTCAGCCTAGATCTCAGTGCCATGGTCCTGTTTTCCAGGTGGCTTCTTCTCCAGGGTCAGCCCCTGGACTGTGATGCTGGCTGTTTTTGATGTTCTCCTGGCTGTCGGCTTGGCAGTCACTGGTGCTATCCTTCTGAGAACCAGGAAAGCCAAAGGTAAATGGAAGGAATTGGGCTGACATCAATTGTGGAAACTCATGAAGTAGTAATGAAAGTAACACAGGAATGGACTGAGGATTATTTATCATTTACAATCATAAAAAAATAACCTGAGGAGGAAGAGGCCCTCCACCTGCACAATCAGTTCATGTGTTTGACTTCATCTGGGATTTTGAGCTTGATTTTGTCTTCTTGGAACTCACTTTTTTTTGAAGTGACTTTGATATTCTTCATATGAAGAATATCAGTAAATGAAGAATATCAGTGCTGCCCAGAGAGACTAGGTGAATCATTTTCTGAGGAAGCACTGAGTCCTCTCTGAGACCCCTCAGCACTGTCCCACTATTCTTCACCTCACATGGAGATCTGCATATGTGACAAGTGAGGCCATGTAACATAATTCAGTGTAGCCCTGCCTCCCTCGTGGTCACAGGTCATGTCTCTGTGCTAGTGACCAGATGGGGCCAAGTGACCTTATTCACTGCAGCCATTCCCTAACATAGAAGACTGGTATACTCTGGTTGCAGGTGGTGGGGGGGCTGCATTTGTGGGACCACTTCATACCCATATTCTATGGAGAGAGAGAGATCCATGAAGCCTGTTTCAAAAGCTAATGCAGAAAGCCAATGTGTCTGGTCCTCCTAAACCCACTGAGTTTTATGTTGCTCCATAAACCAGTCACAAAGGCCAACAGGGCTATCACTTAGTCACATTTAGACTAGTAGTTAAATGTAGGTGTGTGACAAAGTCCTTCTTCATGTTAGTTGGGTGCAGCCCAGGAAGCCCACTGTGTAGTTGTCTGCTCAGGGCTTCTGAGGATGGTGCTGGCCTGCCTTGGCTGAGGGCTGAGCTGTTCAGGGTGCCTGAGGGAAATGCCAGGGCATCCCAATACCCCTAACGGTGCTGCCATGAAGAGCCCATCTGGTGTAAGATCCACAGGAGGTTCAGAATCATATGAGATCCTCTGTGGCTGGCTCCTGGGGCTGTAGGACTTCTAGGCAGCTGGACTTTGAAAGGCCTTAAGTGTGGATCAGGTAACTAGGTGAGTATTTCTGAAGCTGTGTGGATCAGGGCTTGATCTCTGAGGGTTTTTCCAAGTTAGTGAAGGCTGTACTGCTGGACTGGCATGTGCACGGTGACCTCCACAGTCCCCAGGTAGAGGGAGGCCCTGAGTCCTCTCACAGTACATCTGTGCCCTGAGGACATCCTCATGTCCTCGTCACTACTTCTGGTTGTTTATTACTACCTGGGCAGTCTCTAAGTGCCTGTTGATGAACCGAGACTCTACTCATCAGTTTTTATCTAATTTAATTGAAAACTTTTTGAAGAATGGGTAGGATTTTTAGGTTTGTTGTCCATATGGTCTCAGCTTTGGGAGTCAGCCAAAAATGGAAGCCAAGGGGAGATGTCATTTACAATCCCCTCCTACTTCCAAATAAACACACGTGTCAATCAAAAGAGTATTCCAAGTAGTACTAAGGCTTCTGTATTATTAAAAACACAGCAGGCTCTCACTGTGCCAGTCAATGCTGGACTGTCCAGTCCTGGACCTCTGAGTCATTGCTTTCCAAATGGGATGAAGTTTGAGAGGCCCTTCTGAGATTAACGAGAAGATCACACATTCTATTGCTCCTGTCTGTCAGTGAGCTTCCATTGCTAGGCATGTTTGACCTATAAGTTGTACCAGGAAGACATGAACACTCACATAGATCAATTCCAAGCATTGAGACTAAAGCAGGAGTGAAAAGTCCTCCAACAAAGAAAACCCAGGTCCAGATGGAGTCACAGCTGAACTTCAAAGATCTTTTAAAGAACCAACATCTGCACCCTAAGTAGCTAGCCCATGAAATAGAGAAGAAGACTTTCAAACTCATTCTGATATGCTAGGAAAACTTTGCCCTCAAATTTGATGGGAACACCACAAATACAGAGAACACTATAGACCAATGTCCTTGATGAACACATGTGTAAATATCCTCATCATGATTCCTGTAAGTAACATTTAAATGATCAACAGTAAGTTTCATTCCAGGTAGGCAGTAATACTTCAACATATGCAAATCAGTAAATGTGAGGGCTCTCTCTTGTCCAGCGAGGAGGTCCATGGAACAGGGTAGAGGACAGTGTGGCTGTGGAGTTGCTAATCAAGACCTCTGGAGACCAAGCAGGAAGCAGGTCTGATTTTATTGCACAGTTACCATGTATATATACTCAGGTGGTAGCTGAGCAGATTACAGGCAGCCACCAATGCAATGTCTGCTAACTGTCCTTACAGTGACCAATTGAGGAGTGGGCTAGGGAGCAAGTACAAGAACTGCAACACATGGCCTCATGTCCAGGGCTGTGCCTACAGGGAAAGCAGCCTGCCTCTCACATGCTTACCACAAGGGGAGTGGCCTGCCACTCATACAACCTTAACATATGCCATGTATGCAGTACTCCATGTACTTGTCCCCACACTTAAATACAATGAAGGATAATCATCACGTGACCATTTCAATAGAAAAAAAAATTGATAAAATTCAACATCTCTTCAGCCCAGAAGCCCTGAAGAATTTAGGTCCACAAGGATCACACCTCAACATAATAAAGACATTGGAAGGCAAACCAAAGCCAACATTCTAGTGAATGGAGACAGTCTGAAACATTTTTTTCTAAAGTCACAATTGAGACAAGAATCTGCAATCTCACCACTACCATGCATTGTAATGCATGAAACTTGAACACAGTACATAGGCTGAAGCCTGTAAAACCAGACAGAGAAGGACATATGTGGAAACAAATAAATAAGAGGAATGTTAAAGTAGAAGAGGGAGCACAAGGGAGGGGCAGAGAGAGGGAAGAGCAAGAGGCTAGAAGGTCGGCTGGACACACTGGGAGCAGAACAGGCAGGTAAGGAAAGGTCACCATGCAGCCCACTATCTTCTACAGACTGGCTCCTAGGGTCCCAATTCATAATTATCGATAAAAACCCAGGACCAAGGAAAACTGTGAAAGAGCTAGGAGAAGGAATAGGAGTGTAGAAGTCTAGAGGGCAGAGTATGAAGAAGCTTTCTGGTCATATAGAGCTTTGGTTCTTGTCCTCCAAGTGGTGAACAGCTATGAAGGGTTTTTAGTGCAGAGAGGTTTAGTGATTAGGGACCCAGAGGCTACATTACAGAACCCACTGGAGTGGTCAGCAGAGGGCCCTGGGGACCAGGGGAGGGCCTCCCTGTGGTTGAGGAGCACTCAGCAGGCAGTGGAGTGGGTGGGAGGGAGGACACCAGCACCTGAGGCCCCTGATGGAGCTAGAATCAAGAGGCTTTGGGGAGGGATCCCTGGTGGAGGCTCAGTCGGAGCTGGAGCAGAAGGAGGCATAAAGATGGTGTCCCTGTTTCTGGTACCAAGTTCACGGTCATCTTCTCTCATATGGGAAAGAGACCTTGTACTTTAGCCCCAGAACCCAAATTCACAAATGCTCTTGATACCAGTGGTTCCTGGGTCACATAGGCCTGATGATATGGTGGCAGGCTGTGAGGGGCACAGGGCCTTGGAAATGAGTCCAAGCCTCCCTCTGTTCTCAAATTACTGTTTTCTCTTAGGTTTTCCCAGTCACGAACTGCAGGAGTGTCTCTCTGCATGTAGACTGGCTCCTAGGGTCACTTTTCTACATAACCTTTGTCTTTCCTTTTCTACTTCATCTCATCTGGGAAATATAAATGACTGTCCTTTGTCTCCAATATACACAAATGACTGGTATGATACATAAAATTTATGAAAATAAATACTGTTTGCATTAAATCACACTGTAGGAGAGTGCTTCTTTCTTGGAAATTGTTAAGAATTAGTTTTGAATGAAATAAGCAGACTGCAAGAAGCATTGGTGGATAATTTTTTTGGTCATGGGGTGAATACACTTTTTAAGTACACACAAAAAGATATTGAAAGTAATTCCACATGAGAACTAAAATTAACAGGTTTCTTCTCTTTCTTTGATTTATTTTAATGAAGTGAACAAACGTTTTGGGGAAGATTTTTTTTTCTAATTCAGTAAAAACATAATCACTTGTCAAATCTGCAGAGGGCCAGAGGTCTTTTTTCTCTGTAGCTCATGCTTGTAACATTGAGCTATGATTGACAGGTGTCTTACAATGGCCCTGAGAAGGAGAGACCCTATTCCCTCATGGTGATGTTCCTGGAACATAGGGCAGCAGCTGCTCTGAAGTGGGTTTTTAATAAGTGTGTGCTGAGTGACAGGAAAGAGTGGCCGTGGCCTCGGGAATGCCATGGAGACAAAGTCAGCCAATGCACTGGCCTCCATAAGCAGTAGACTTTATTGGACAGAAGAAGAAAATGGTAAAGTCTCAGGGTATTCAGGATCTCTGGATTTCCCATGTGGGAACATAAGACAAGATACCCCCCAGTCTGTGCTTCACAGAGTTCCCCACATGATCCACATGTTCAGTGAACCCTTCAATACACATGGCAAAACCCAGGCTGAACTTTGTTGGCATTTCAGAGACTCATCTTCATTCACCTCTTTGTTTTTTCTTTAGAGAAACTCGATGAAGAACTTGGTAAGTTCTGTGTATGACTTTTAAACACATTTGGAATTCAACCACTGTGTCCCCCACATATTGATGTCACTCTGTTTGATTACAGAACAAAGAACTGCACGAGGAGAGACAGGTAAGTGAATTCTTGTCCCCTTGGTCTCCACATCCCATTACTGCATAGTCTCACCCTCCCCATCACTCAACTAACCCTGAATGTGTCCATCTCATTGCAGGTCTCAGGGAAGCTCGGAGATTTGCAGGTAAGTGCACAGGGAAGGAGGTGTGGCTCAGAATGGCCTCATTGCCTAGCCTCTTACCTCTCTGGGATTCTCCTGTGAAAGAAAAGGTTCTTTCCAAATGATGTACAGGATACAGGTGGCAAAGAAAATCCTTTGAAGCTGGTTGCAGGAACCTAAGTTGGTTAAGACCCAAGTCCCACTATGGGAGAGGTGGTCTAGCTAGATTGCCATAAATGCATGCATGAGCTCTGGGCAGCACAGACACAATGGGGTCTCCTAACCTACATGCAGGCTCTCCTCAGTGAGGAGCAAGTCCCCACCATTCTGTTCCCACCCCCACAGGACTCTCGAGAGTGATGATGAAGTGTGGGCTTAGGTTTCTTCTCTCTCCTCTCCATTCAAATGAAGCTCTTGTGTCCCTCAGGTCATTCTCACCAACAGGAACACACTCTCTTTTTTCTCCTTAGCTTTCTTAACAATAAAGTAAACAGCAATCTCAGTTAACCCAGTGTCTCCGTCGGGCTGTTTTCCTACTCTCCTCTCCCTCTCCAGAACAGCCTCATTACATACTTCTGAATTCTCCTTCCTAATTTGTACCCTCTGCTGTCTTTCCACTCCCGCTCCACAAATACCAACAGCCTGACAATGGCCCTTGTGGTCCTCAGTGGTCCCCACCACCCTCCTGCTACCTCCTAGCTCCACTTCCTCCCTCTCCCTCCTCCTGCGGCACTGGCCACTCTCCTGCCCTCTGAATCCGCTGCTAATCTTCTGCCTCTGAACTGAGCAGGTGGATCCGTCTCCATGACCTTCCCCTACCCTTCTGTTATATCCTCTCTGTCCATGGAGGGCCTGGTGTTCCTAGTGCTAACACCTAGAGACTTTCTGAGTGTCAGAACTTTGGTAAAGACCTTTCCCAAGGGGGTTTCCATCCTCTATTCAGCTTCCACCAGGGAAGGCCTTGCAAGCTCTGACATGAATTTCATCTTTAGATGGAGTGTTCTGGTGGTACTTTTCAGCAGGAAAGGACGTTCAGATTTGTTGGTTGGATGCTGTCATGGTTATTAGTAGTCTGTTTCTTTTGTCTTTGTGTTTGTAAAAGGGCCTAGAACACATGTGCCTTGTCCATCTTCCCTGCTTTGACCCCTCACATGGAAGGTGAAGGTCTTATTGCTTACAATAACTGATCTCTTTTCCTCTGCAGAAGACATCATTCTGGATACGAACACTGCTCATCCATCCCTTGCTGTATCACCTGATAGGAAGCATGTGCACACTCTGTCTACGATGCAGGATATTCCTGACAAACCAGTGCGATTTACTGTAATGCCATTTGTGCTTGGTCATAAGAGCTTCTCTAGTGGCAGTCACTATTGGGAGGTGGAAGTAGCAGGGCAGGACAGGTGGCAGATAGGCCTCTGCTGGGATTCAGTTAAACGAAAAGTCCTTCATATGTATACCTTCCCTGAAAATGGTTTCTGGTCCCTTTCCCTGAGTGATGGTAGGTATGAAGGCCTCACTGTGCCACGTTTTGTTATTGATGTTGAAACCCCCCCTGATGTTGTGGGGGTGTTTTTGCAGTATGAAAAAGGGTTGATTTCTTTCTATAATGTGAATACATCTACCATTCTCTATACTTTCAAAAGCAAGTTCACCCAGCCCCTGAGGCCATATTTCTACCCTGGACCTCCTACCCAAAAAAGCACTCCAGGCCTTACAATCCTCCCAGTGCCAAGTGATTCTGATTCACCCTACAGCAGTCACTCCTCGGAGGTTGAAGTAGCAATGTGGATATGAAGCTAATAGGACTCTGCTTGGAGTCAGTTATATGAAAAATAACTTGTACCTATACCTTCCTGAGAATGGTTTCTGGTCCCTTTCCCTGAAGGATGGAAAATACTAATTTCTTTCTGTCCCATATTTAGTTAGTGATGTTGAAGTACCCCCTAAGATAGTGGGGATATTTTTGCAATATGAGAGAGAGTTGATCTCTTTCTGTGATTTGAAGGCATCTACCATTCTCCATACTTTCAAAAGCAAGTTCACCCAGATTCTGAGGCCATGTTTCTACCCTGGACCTTTTATCCCAGGAAACACTAGTGGCCTTACCATCATTCAGGTGCAAGGTGGGTATGATTCTCTCTGAAGCAGAATGCAGACACATTCCCCAGGGGTCATCCAATGGACCATGAGGGCAGTGGCCATTCCCCAGCCAGGGTGCTGCAAGGCTGAAGTGTGAAGATCAGCCAAGGGCCCCGGCTCCTCCCTGTGATATGGGGACCAAGAATGATCCTCCTCACTGGGCTAGCTCCACTGCTCATCAAAACCTGCCATCCTAGCTGGATTCACTACTGAAACTGATAAGCTTCATTTCTCAACAATATCTCTTTTATGTTTCTCACCCTGCCTAACAGCCAATTAAGAGCCATTTGCTTTCAGTAAAAATCTATTGGTTCTTGAGAGCTAAGCACCAAGTGCTGATTATTTCCATGACTGTCTTTGAGCCAAAATTAGTAACTTGAACCCAGTGTTATACTCAGAGCCTTTACCTGAATAAACTCACCTCTTGTAGCAATGGATACACCTGTACTCAAAGATCTTTTCATGCAGGAGCCGCTGTAGAAGCCCCTCCAAGCCCTACATTCTATCACATATTTTGTTATCCTCATTATCAATTTTTATATATTTAATTGACAGATGTTACTAAATCTGTGGCATACAATCAGTTGGGTATGTGTGACCTTTGTGTAATTTTTACAACCATCACATTAAATAATGGACACAAGTTATATAGTAAATCTCCACAGCCTGTTCACTTTCCAATATAGAGTGCATACACTTGACCACTACTCTCCATAACCCACCAACTGCTCCAGGTCCAGGAAACCATGCTGTGGTCTCTGCTACCCTCAGGCTGAGTTTTGCATTTATTTTGTAGATTCCATGATCAGTGGTCAACCCGAGCTTCCAAAAGTAGGTTAAAAGCCATGGTCACCACAGCTTGAGTGTCAGTTCTAGGACTTGTCCTTCCTCTCAAAGTCACACGACTCCATAATCTGAGCCTCTAAGAAACAAACTGAAATACCTGCCTTCAGAGTCCATGATATGAAGCGCTAAGTGTCCCAAATGCCAACCATGGACTAGTTCGTATTATTGCATAACCCCAGGGAGGTCACAGAGAAATTCAAACTCTCACACATTGCAGGTTGGAGAGCAAAATCACACAGTAGCTCAGGGAAGGTTGGCAGTAGACTTTCATAAAGGTAACCAGAGAAACATCCTATGATCTGAATCTCCCTGCCAAGGTACATGCAGGAGAGAAATGAAATCATGTGAACACAGAAGCAGGTACAAAAACCTGAAGCAGCCTTATTAATAAAATCTGAAAACTGGTACTGATACAAAGACACTTACATGGGGAATGTGTGTATAAATTTTAATCAATCCACAAGATAAATTACAATTTGACATTGAAAACGTGAAGCACTGACACTTTCAGCCACCAGATAGGATTATCAGAGATGATGTGCTGGGTGTGGGAAGACTGTACCCTGCCATGTGTGGGGTTCTTGAAAGGTCAGTTATCCTACGCCCAAGAAAAGGCCAGGTTGTGGTATGCAGATAGGGAAGACTACCTGGGCAGTGAGGAAGGACAGTCTGGAGAGGGGAGTGCTCCCTGCGTGCAGGGTGGGTGCATAAGGAAAACCCATGGCATTGTCAGCTCCTGCTCCGTGTGGGACCTGGCATCCAGTGCTGGGCACCATCCTCCAAAGTGGTCACTCATTGTCCTTGGTTCGTGCCCTGATGTCCAGGTGCTGCTGCCTTCACTGAATAAGGGCTGACCTTTCAGTGGTGGAGATAACAGTGTGCACATCCAAGGTTCATCCTCAAAGGCAGGTCTAACTGGGTCTCAAGGTCCAGCTGGGTCCCTAACAGCACTCACTCTGGGGTAAGCCAGCACCACACCGTGAGGACCCTCACATGGCCCTGTAGAAGGGCCAGTGAATCTGAGTTTCCTGCTCAGAGCATTGTGGACCAGTAGCCTTTAAGTGAGCCACTGAGCCAACCTGAAACTACAATGTGGGTACAGATCCAGAGATGAAGCTTCTGATCAAGGCCCCAAATCCCTGAGCTGTATTGAGGAAACCATGGCTATTGTAGTGCCCGGGGATCTCTCACCTAAATCAATCTGAGCAGTGTTCCTAGCTGGATAGAAAGGGTGCATAGTGTCTGTGGATTGTGTGTCATCAAGCATTGTAATTAATGATAACCTTCAGTCAGCAGGTTTTCTCTTTGAAATGCTATTTCAAAAATTTATCTCTGTAGTGTAGGCTTAGAAAAATGGAAAAGTTTATTAAAGATAATAAAATTTGGGTTTCTCACAGTTGGAAAAGTTAACAAAGATGTGCTATTTGATGTTCTAGATGGAAATTGGAGCAAATGTACATGTATAAATTGCTCTCTATATGAAATAGTAATAAATTATCAGCATTACAGTCTTATGTAATTATATAGTTCACTTAATGTGGACAGGAATGGTGAATATGGGTGTGTATTGTGTGCGTATGTGCACAGACCTGTCTGCTTAGAAGGCTTCAAAGTTTTGAAAACTCAGTAGCAGTGAGCACATCAGTGACTAGAGGCTGATCTGTAAAATATCTTTATTAAAGGAAATAAAATTCTTTAGAGAAAAGTCAGTTTCCAGGAATGAGCATGGCCACGTGTGGGCTGGGCTTCTTAGGTATTATTGTAAAGAAGGGAAGCTCTCTAGATTTTTCCTCTAGATTTTGAAGTTTATAGAAGTATAAATTTTCTAGTGATCTTCTAAATTTCAGAAGTCTTTGTGGTGATAATTCCTTTTTTATCCCTAATTATGCTCATTTGTATTCTCTCTCTCAATTAGTGATTAGTTTGGCTAAGGGTTTACAAACATGTGTTTTCAAAGAACCAACTCTTTGCTATATTGATCCTGTGTATTATTTTTGTATTCTCAATTTTATTAATTTCAGCTCTGATCTTAATTATTTTATGTATTCTACTTATTTTGGAATTAGTTTGTTCTTTCTTTTCCAAAGACTTGTGTTGGAGCCTAAGCTCATTTATTTGGGACCTCCCTGTTTTTTTAAAGTCAGCACTCAATGCTCAAAATTTTGCTCACAGAATTGCTTTCATATTGTCCCAGAGATTTTTTTAAATTTTTGTTTGTTTTAATTAGTTATACATGCCAGTAGAATGCATTTATGCACTTTGATATACATAGATAGGATATAATTTCTCATTTTTCTGAGTGTACATGTTGCAGAATCATGTTGGTCATGAGATTTTGATCTTTTGTATCTCTGTTCTCATTTGTTTCTAGGAATTTATTGAATTCTTCTTCTGTCATTTCTTTTATGATCCATTCTTCATTTAAAGAGCAGTGTTCAATATCTGTTTGTTTATGTTATTTCTATTATTTTTCTTGCTGTTGATTTCTGTGCTCTGATGGCATGCACAGGATCACTTTTTATTGTGTGTATTGACTAAGACTTACATTGTGATCTAGAATATGATCTATTTTGGAAAAGGCTCCAGGAGCTGCTGAAAAAGTGAATTTATTGTTTTGGGAGGAAATATTATGTAGGTGTATATTAGTTCCATTTGGTTTATGGTATTATTTGCTACACTAGTGGGGTATTACATAAATTATATGATTATATCAGATAGTTTATACTTCTTGAGTGAAGAGAAAACAGACCAGGAATGCAAGAGAAAAGTTGGATCATTTAAAAAGTTAATGTAGGAGAGCAGGAAATAGACAGCAGATGATGACTGCAAGGATGGAAGAAAAGATAATAAAAAATGGAGGAAAATAAGTCAGAACAGGAAAATTTGGCTACTAATATAGGAAGAAAGTGGAAAAAAAGGGCAATATGAAGGACAACAACCAAAGTACAAACAAACACAGAAATGTAAGATCAAAACAACTCAAACCCATGGATAATTTTACCCAAACTTAGTCAAACCAAAGCTAATGATAAATGAGCAAATAAAGCAATTAAGATGGAAGTAGAATTGTATGAATGTGTGTATATATATATATATATATATATATATATATATATATATATTAAACTCATTCACACTGTGAGCACAAACACCCACTGACACACCCAATCTCACACAATGGAAAAATTAAAAAATAATAATAAAACATAAAGAAATGATAATTGAAGAAATAAAAATTTATGAAAAAGAGAGTCAAAATGGGGAGATTTGGGAAAAAGAAAAATATCACAGAAAAAAAAGATAAAACCTTAATGGAGAATAAACAGCTTATTTCTACTCTGATGGTAAAAACTGTAGACAAGGATAGATTTTCATTTTTTTATATTATTTTGGGGCTCTTCAGGCCTTGGGTCAAAGGTGAAAGTCTAAGTCCAGGTCCTTGTGCAGCTAGCTCACCTAGCTGCCAGGCCAGTGGAAGCCAAAATTGCTTCCAGTCTCCTCGTGCAGGGTGGGAGAGACTGGGAGATACTGACCAGTCATGTGTTCCTACAGCAGGTGGGGAAGTGTTCTCAGTCGGAAGTTCCAGTAGTGGGAATTTAGTCTTGGCAGACCTTTGGAACTCTGTAGGTAGATATTTAAGATCTGATCCACACTCTCTGCTGCTAGGGAGATCCTGATCTCTGCTGGACATTTGGGTCTCAGCGGTCTCTTGTATAATCCACATTTGAAGTGTAGAGTCTGTATCTCTTCAGGTCTTAGATTCAGCACTATCTATGTGAAGAACCCAGTACCAACCCTGGAGTGCAGATGCTCCTGGGTGGTTGTTACTAGGTCTTTTTCAATAGCTCTTATGGATGGGGAACCAGCAACCAAGGAAGCTCCCTCTTCCCATTACCTGGAGCCTGGATGCCCCAAGGTCAATTCTCGTTGTACATATTTCAGTCACCCTAGCCCAAACATAGCCCAGAGATCACAACAGGTGAGAGCTGGGTCAGCTGTCCCTTACTTCTTTATGAGTTCCTCATTTCTTGACTGCTGTGGCTGAGCAGCTCTTATAAATAGCTCCTGCACTGGCAATCCTGGTTGGCACTGACCACTTGCCCATGAGTGGAGTCATTTGGTTGCTTTTCATTCAAGAACTTCCCCCAACTCTGTGGACATTAAGATTGACCTCCCTGTTTATTCCAGGTTCCCCCAGGCCAATTTTTAACAAAAAAATTTATGCACTGTGGATTCATCTCTCTTCCTGTGCTGCCCTCCTACAATAGCCACACTGGGTGCCCAGACAGCCAGCAGGCATGTGACTAAGTCATGAGTGTTTTATAATGTGTTAGAAGTTTGCAACACTTTGTGTCTCAATGGTTTCCTTTACTGTTTACTATTACATTTTGCTGGGTTCACTGAGTTACCCATATGCTGAGGAGCAGGCTTGCTGATTTGTAAGTCTGCTTCTGAGGAAATGTTGAGAAATGCAGCCTCCCTCTGATCCCTTTCCACATGTGTTTAACACATCTACATGCCTGCACACAAATACACATATTTTTGTGTGTGTGTGTGAATTACTTGGGAGTTAATTGGAAACTTCTTGTTTTCCCCTTTATTACATGATTCAAGGCATATTTCCTATGAACATGGACATCTATTACATCCTTTTGAAATCAGATAACAGAACATTGATTCCACACCATCACTGGCTCCCCCACAGTTCTGCCACTCCTGACAAGCATCCTTTGTACCTGTTAGTGTTCATGTTTTAGGGTGGATTTCAGGAACCTGGGCTGCTTTTAGTGACACTTTTTTCCATTCTCCTTTACTCTGTGACAATTAGTCTTTCCGTGACCTGGAGATTGCTGGACTGTGGACTGTGTGCAGCACAGGGAAGGCACAGAGCAGCTCTCGGAGATTACTATGAAAGTTTCTCAAGATTAAACCATGAGTGGGGGCTCGTGGAGAGGCCGCAGCAGAGACTGGAAGCCTCCAGTGCTCTGTGTCAGGGGCGTGACACCATGGTGTCCCCACATCATCCAAGAGAGCTACAGTTGTGGGTCTAGCTTGTGTCTAGCAGGCCTGGGGACAGGCATGACACACTACTCTGTAGGGGGATGATCTGAGACCTGTGAGCACACCTATCTACGTGACAGTTCTAGAATCCTTCCCTGTTTGTAAACTCACATTCTATTGTATGGAGGAGTTTGCTCTCATGTGGCGTAGGGTGCTTTACTTAATTATTAATCCATGTCAGCAAGGAACATGGAATATTTATGGAATTATTTCTTCCATTTTTCTCTAACTTGAACATGAAGGCACCTCTCCAGCTGTCTGCTGTGTTCTCCAGTTACATCCATATCACTGTCTGAGAGTTTCCCTTCTTTACAAGATCTAAAAAGCCCAGCCCACACATGGCCTTTCTTATTCCTGGAAACCACTTTTTCTCTGAAATCCTCTAGTTTCGGTAAGAAAGCCAGGGGCACTGCTTCAGGCATGGTTTCCCCACTGCAGCTCTAGGATTCGTGCCTTGGTCAGAAGCTTCATCTCTGGATCTCTGTGCACATTGACGTTGTGTTTAAGGTTGACTCAACAGGGCTAGGCAGCTTACTTCAAGGTTTTTGGTCCACAACATCCTGAGCAGGAGATTCAGATTCACTGACCACTCCACAGGGCCTTGTGATTATCCCCATGGCATACTGCTGGCTTTCCACAGTATGAGCACTTCTGAGGACCCAGAGGGACCTGTCCCTGAGGATGAACCTTGGATGTGCACACTGTTATCTCTATTGCTGGAGGGTCAGCCCTTACTCAGTGAAGGCAACAACACCTGGATATCAGGGCATGGACCACAGGAAGTAAGGACGATGAGCGGCCACCTTGGAGGACAGTGCCCAGAACGGGATGCCAGGACCTCCAGGGAGCAGGTGGCCCTGGTTTTACATCATACACTCACCCTTAACATGGGGAGCACTCCCCTCTCCAGACTGTCTTTCTTCCTCCTGTAGGCCTCCCCTCCTAATACCACAACCTGGGCTTTTCTTGGGCACAGGCTGGTTGGCCTTTAAAGATCCCCACACATGGCAGGGTAGAGTCTTCTCACACCCCGATTCTGTCACCCAGCTCAACATATCTGATGATCTTATTCTGGTGGAATGTATCAGTATTTCAATTCTAAAATGCCAAATTATAGTTCATCTTGTGAATTAATTACACTTTAATCATAAAATCTCCAAGTAAGTGCACTCGTCCCACCTTTTAGATATTATTGATATGGCTGCTTAAAAGTTTGGTACCTCTTTCTATGTTCACATGATTTCATTTCTCTCCTGGCAGGGAGATTCAGATCATAGGCTGCTTCTCTGGTTACCTTTATGAAAGTCTGCTGCCAACCTTCCCTGAGCTACTGTGTGATTTTGCTCTCCAACCTGCAATGTGTGAGAGTTTGAATTTCTCTGTGACCTCCCTGGGGTTATGCAATAATACGAACTAGTCCATGGTTGGCATTTGGGACACTTAGCGCTTCATATCATGGACTCTGAAGGCAGGTATTTCAGTTTGTTTCTTAGAGGCTCAGATTATGGAGTCTTGTGACTTTGAGAGGAAGGGGAAGTCCTAGAACTGACACTCTAGCTGTGGTGACCATGGCTTTTAACCTACTTTTGGAAGCTCGGGTTGACCACTGATCATGGAATCTACAAAATAAATGCAAAACTCAGCCTGAGGGTAGCAGAGACCACAGCATGGTTTCCTGGACCTGGAGCAGTTGGTGGGTTATGGAGAGTAGTGGTCAAGTGTATGCACTCTATATTGGAAAGTGAACAGGCTGTGGAGATTTACTATATAACTTGTGTCCATTATTTAATGTGATGGTTGTAAAAATTACACAAAGGTCACACATACCCAACTGATTGTATGCCACAGATTTAGTAACATCTGTCAATTAAATATATAAAAATTGATAATGAGGATAACAAAATATGTGATAGAATGTAGGGCTTGGAGGGGCTTCTACAGCGGCTCCTGCATGAAAAGATCTTTGAGTACAGGTGTATCCATTGCTACAAG